GTGGGTGGAGGGCAGTGTCCATGTGCGGCCAGGACCCAGCCTCAGGGACGTGAGATGCTGGGTCAACTCCCCAGGGCTCGGCCACTTCCTGGCTTTGTGACTTTGGGAATTCATTCGGCTTCTCTGGGCCTCAGTTTCCTCATCCTGGGCACTACTTCCTAGGGCCCTTGCTGGATTCTTGAGTTAATGCAAAGCCTTAGAAAAGCGCTAGGCCCATAATAAGCCCCCTCATTGTTACTACTGTCATCCCCAGCCCCACCTCCAGGCCCCGCTCCGTGTGTTTGCAGGTCAGCAAAGAGCCCCCATAGCAGCCCCCAGGGCTCGTACCACAGGACTTGGCAGCCCATGCCACCTCCCACGCTCCCTCCAGCTTCAGTTTTGGCATCTGCAAGTGGAAGCTCTGGCGGGGCCACTCGGAGGCCGAGATTGTGATGGCTGCTGGACTACAGTGGGGTGACCCCATCACCACCCTGCAGGAGGGTTCAGAGCTTCTCCAAGCCACCCCGCTGGGCACTGGGTCCAGGGCTGGGGGGGAGGCCATGAAGTTCCAGCCTTGCTGGAGCGGAGGCTTCCTAGCACTGGCTGTTGCCCTGGTTACAAACGCTTGGGAAAGATTTTAAACTATGCACTTCCCAGGATAGCCTCTTCAACAAGTGGCATTGGAAAAACGGGATAACCACATGCAGACAAATGAAACTGGACTTCTATCTTTCACCACTTACAAAAATCACCTCTTCCCTCTCTGCCCACTTCTCTGCTTGAGGCCACTAAGGAAAGAAGTAATTCAGGAAGTGCGTTGGATGGGCAGCCACGTCTCCTGGCTCCTCCAACAGAGAATCCAGGACGAGCAGGGAGGAACAGGTTGGAGAGGGGCCCTCTCACCATGAAACAGGGTTTCCAGGGCGTCCTCCCAGCCGGGTGCCTGGTCTTCTCTGGGCTTTAGTGTGGGGAGCTGCTCACCTCGACTGTTGGCCACACACCACACCTGCAACACGGGAATAGCAGAAGAGCGCTTCTGTGGACTGAGGACAGGATGGAGGGGGACAGGCTGGCAGGCAGGAGGCAGAGTAGACCTGGCGGGTGGCTCTTGTGGAGGGAGATGGGACAGGTGAGGCTTTTAGATGTCACCACATTGGACAGAGGGCAGGCCCACAAAAGTCCTACAGAGGGCGAGAGGGGAGACGGTGGCCTGGGAAGGGGTCAGGAAGCTCCCAGGTGCTGCCTCTTGAAGCTGCACCGGAGAGCTGACTGCATGGCGGGGTGGGAGCCCGCACTGCTGGCCGAGGCAGGAAGAGAAATTCGCAGGCCCAGTGTGTGCATTTCGAGTTGGCCAGGTGTGTGTCACCCTGAGTGGGTGTCTGTTGTCCAAGGAAGGGTAAAGTTCTCCAGGGTGGACTTATCTGCTCAAAGTGGGGACGGACAAGGCTTGTTGAACTCATTGGTTTTATATCTCCCACCAGAAGGGACCCCCAAGATGAAATCAACCAGAGTGTTTTAAGAAACAGCTAGAAAACAAAGAGAAGGCAGGAGGGAAGGAGGCTGGTCTGCCCCACAGAAGGCCCACCAGTGCCAGTGTGTCCAAATGTCTCCCACACCCTCCCCACCAGCTGATGGGGAGGTACTTGCCCAGCTGATAGTAGCTACTTCTTATGGGCTGACTTTCCATAGCATTCGTGTTTCTCTCTCCAAGGTCACTGTCCATGCCTGAAAAAGAGATTACAGTGATGGTGCCAGAATTATTTAACTCAAAGTCCTTGTTACACGTGGACTCCTGTGCTCTGTTAGTAATGTTTAGTTTTAAATTGCTTTATTAAAATCAATTCGCACACAATCTAAATGTCAAAAAAATCCAGTTTTTTAAAGGGACCGACACAAGGAATACAAGCATGATGTTCCAAGGATCAAGAACTAACTTGTCATTTCGGTCTTCCTAGTGTTCTGTTCAGTGACACCAGGTGAGTTTGAGAGGCAGGTGCTTCCAACCCAAGGCTCTAAAACCTGCTGATGCTCAGAATCTCTGTCCATTAGCAAGAAAAAACATGACCAGAGCAGTCCAGACAAGGCGTTTGAATGGGACTGGCAAACTGCTCCTGAGATAAGAGCTTTCAGTTACCTGAGCAACAGGCTCCCTGACTGGATCAGCCACTGGGAGGCACTGGGAGGCACTGGGAGGCACTGCTGGAAGATGGGGGTGAAGCCACGGGATTTCTTCCTGGAGGCCTGTGGGTGTGGTTTGGCTCCTTCAGGATCCAGTACCCACAGACCAGGCCCCTGGGTGACCCTGACTCTCTGGAGGCTAAGGACACTGCTTTCCTCCCTTTCACCCCCCAGCCCGGGACTGCCTGTGAGCTGGCATTGGGGGACCAGATAACACTCACGGTCACACCCCCAGGAATGAACAGCCGCACCTCCCTCACTGTTTTCAAATGATTTTCTCTATAATAGATTTTATTTTTTGTTCTCATTGTGAAATAAGAAAAAAGCAAACAGGAAAGCAAACAGGAGGGACCAGTGTTGCTCCCAATTCAAACACCCTGAAACAACAGCTCCTGGGATGTGGAGAAGCCAACGCGTGTCACCCTGCATCATGTCCCCAGTAGGCACATGCTGGGCCCGCTTCGCACTCACTGACACCACTTTCCTGCACCGGAGCAGATCTTCACCACTTTTTAAAACTAAATGCTGTGGGGACTATCGTCATCACAGGCTGTGGGGAGACCCCAAGCTGGACCCTGCCCAGCGCCTGGCACCCAGGTGTCCAGGAAACGGTGGCTGCTGCTTTCAGCTGAGACTGGAGGCTCTCAGGAAGAGGGGTGACCTCCCCACCCCCCAGCTCCTAAACAAGGGACAGGACATCTCATCTGGCTGGGCTAGAATCCTCACCAGTCCCTCTGACTGTGTGGCCCTGGCCTGGTCACCGCATCTCTCTGAGCCTATTGTCTCATCTGTGACAGAGGCATCCAACCCAGAGAGGGGAGAGGACTGACCCCTATTCCTCCCCAAGAAACAGTGCCCGCCAGACCCAGTTAGGACCCCTGTGCCAGGAGATCGAGTCTCTTCGGGGACCTTTCAGGAGGTTCTTGAATTCCTGACAAGTTCAAGAGTAGCCCCAGCAGGGGGAATCCCTGGCCAGGAAGGGGCCCTTCAGATCCTGTAGCACCCCTCCCACTCACCAGTACCTCCCCAGGTGGGTCCCTGATTCACTGTGTGGCCTTAGACCAGTGGCTGTCTCTCTCTGGGCCTATTTCCTGGCCTAGGGCTGCCAGGCTCAACTCTAGCCCAGCCCCATCAGAAACCAGCTCTGCCTCTGCCTCTGCCTGGCTCAGCTCCAGACAGCAGGACTGGGCTGTCACATGCTGAGCCACGTGACAGGCAGCGGCTGGGGGCTGCATCCCACACTGAGGATCGGGGCCTCTGCAGCCCCTAACCCCTGTCCCAAGTGGCTGAAGCCTCCAGGGGCCACCAGAGCAGGTGTGGGCCAGGAGGCCTCTCCTGCCCTCCCAGGTAGGCAGGGGGAGCGGAGAGGGTGGGGGTGGTGAGGAGCCTCTCCCAGGGCCCTGGGCGGCCCGCAGGTCCCAGGCCAGGATCCCAGGCAGACCCGGGGGCACCAAGGCAAAGGAGCAATGGGGACAGTGGCAGAGGGCCAATGGTAGCAGGCACCAGGTGATGGCACAAAGGATGCTCCTGCCCCCACACCTGTAACCTAATCATCTCCTGTCTGACACCAGCAGCTGCTCGGGAATCTCCCCGCTTTGTGTTGGCTCCTCCGACAGGTGTGACGGGGTGGGGGCCAGGGAGGCAAAGGACAGGTCCCCCTGGCATCGCTCAGGCACCTGAGGAGCGAGAGCCCAGGAGCCACCATGGTGATACATATAATCGTGACAGCTGCCCTAGAGGGCGGAGGGCGGTGCTCTTCCCAGGGAGTTGGGAGGGGACGGCTGGGAATGAACGAGCCCCTGCTCATAGAAACAAGCTTCCAGTGTGGGTCCCTGTCCCCTCTCTGGGACTCCATTTCCTCATTGTAAATGTCAGGATGCCGGGGACAGGCTTCGGGAGTAGGTGCCAGACGAGGTGGTGCTGATTGACACGGACACCCAAGGGCCTGGGCCCGAGATCGTGCTCCTGACTCCAGCCATCTCTGGACCTGCCCTCTTCATTCTGCGGAAGGGAAACTGAGACTCAGGTGAACCGGGGGGCAGGGTTCTCCTGCTATTCCAGGCCCCTGGGCCCCACTGCACCCCATCATTCCCAGGGCCACCGCCTTGGTCTTTCCTCCTTCTCGGGCTGGACCCCTAGCCCAGAGCCCCCTGGGGCCGAGAGACCGAAGCAAGAGGCGGGCAGCTCCGCCACCACATCCCGGTTCATTAAGGGAACCAAGTGAAGCAGTGGCAGGTGACGGGGCTCCGGGCAGCGCTCAGGAGTTAGGTAGGACAGGCCCGGATGGCTGGGGGCCCCGCGGCGGGACGGTCCCAGCCTGGGAGGGGACTGCCTGCCTGGAGACTGGCAGGGGTCTGTTCTCAACCAGCGTGCCTGGGGCTGGCGGAGGGCCCATGAGAGTCTCTGAGGGGACTCAGGGGAGGCAACCTCTGTTGGGCTGGATGTAGCTCGGAGGTCCAGCGGGGGTCACAGCACTGAACAGTGTCTCCAGCTCGCTGAGGGAGGTGGTGGGGAATCTCAGCCCAGGCACCAGGCCAGGCAGCCCCGCCCCAGGGGCCGGCCCAGCCCTGGACGTTTCATAACACAGGGCCGGGCGCTGGCTAGTGGAGCCAGACACCAGAAGGAAGGGCAGCCTGGCAGAGTCTCAGGTACGGCATCCTGGGGAGGCTGGGGGACAGCAGCGCGCGGTCAGAGCTGGGGTCCTGGCTGGCGGGCTGGCTCAGGACCCGGGGCTGCGGGCTGTCCAGGCAGGCAGGGCCACTCTGGCCACATACACAGACTGGATTTGTCCTCAGAGCTCCCCTGCCTGCTTGGGGAGAAAGGGAAAGGAGGGACTTCCCTTTGATGAGACCCAAGGAGCGGGAGAGGGAGACCGAGGAGAGGCCCGGGAGCCCCTGAGCCAGGCAGCCAGCGGCACCGTCGTTCTGTCTGAGCTGGGCCGCCAGCCTTCCTCTCACTGGGGTTACACACCCTGTAAGGGAGCCCAGGGCCCCAACTCTAGACCTGGTGGCCCCAGGAGGAAGAACAGCTCATCTTGGGGGGGGGTGGAGTCAAGCATCCATTTAGCAACACACGTTTCCTGGGCGCTGCAAGAGCCTGGAGCCGGGCCAGGGCCTGCAGGGAGGAATCCGGAGGGGGTCCCGTTCTCGGAGCAGACTCCGCCAGGCTCCAGGGGGGAGGGAGCAGCGAGGCTGCCCTGCCTTGAGGAGGAACTGATCGTCCAGAGGCTTTGCGGGCAAGGGAGCCAAGGCAGGCCTCTCTGTGGGGTGGGGCTGGGGTTGGTCCCCAGCTCCCCACGGCCCTCAGGGATGGGGCAGCTGCCAGAGCTTCTGGGGACCTTGTAGAAATCCAGGTTAAGGGTCCAGGGCGGAGATCAGATTGGACACACTAGAGTATGGGGACCTTTCAGGTGGCCCTGTGACCTCCACTTCTGTCAGCTGAGGGGCGTCCCCAGGCCCTCAGGCCACCACGCTTACCTCTGTCATCTTTCCCAGCTCTTGGGAAAGATCCCTGCCCCGACCCAGGTCACAGGTTGAAGTCCTTGCCTCCCTGGTGTTCACTGGGTTCAGTTCTCCTCGGGCTCCCCAATGTCTCCTCCCCGGAACCCCCTGCGTCTTTCACAATCTGAATACAGTCCCTTGGAGACATCATCACTGAGCATTCACAGCCCGGCCTGGCAGAGTGTGGTCCACAGTCTCCCAGCAGCACCCAGGGCAGCGACAGGTGCCACGCCCATTTCACAGATGGGGAAAGTGAGCCACAGAGAGGCTGCGCCACCGCCCAAGGCCTCCGAGCTGATAAATGGAGCTGCTAGCGCTCAAGCCCAGGTCCCTGGGCCCCTGACACATCATACGTGGAAGGTGCTCTCAGAAAGCCTCTGGTGAGGAAACCAAGGCAGGAAGACGAGGGACTGCGCAGAGGTTGGGGGTGGGCTCGGAAGTAGATTCTTGATGGTGCCTTGGGGCCAGCAGGCCTGAGAGCCCAGCCATCCGTGCCCCTCCTCAAGTCCATGTGACCTTTCTGGGCCTCAGCTTCCTTCAGGGACACCAGGCTCCAGCTGTACCCACACTGGCTCAGGGCCTGGCACAGCGAGCACCTGGTTGCTCTTAATAGAGGAACCCCCAGGCTTATGGCCTTGAGGGGACCTGCTTGGCCCTCCCCAGGTCCCAGGCCAAGGATACAGGCCTGTCCCTTGACACCATCAAATGACTTAGCAACTCCTGGCCCACCCCGCTCACCTACAGAAGCAGCAGGTCCTGAAAAGAACCGGCCGAGCCGGTGGTTGTAGCCGGGACCACCTCGGTCCGCTGTGGGGGTCCGTGTCCCCAGACCTCTGGCCTGCCAGCCCTGGGACCTCAGTGGCTCGGCCAGGTGAGGCAAGAAGCGGAGCAGAGTGGGGACCGTCAGGAACAGTGAGGAGGCAGAGGCCAAGGGAGCAGGGCACAAACAACACACTTTCCCACCCTCGCTGGGTGCCACACCCCACTGCCCGCCGGCCCCGGGTCGCAGTTCAGGAGGCCCAGAGGTAGCCTCTGCTCGCCTGTGCGGGGCGGGTGGTGGGGCGTGGGGCGGGCAGCCCTCTCTTCCTCCAGATTCTGGATTTTCAGGGTGAAGAAGCCGGGTGGCCTGGGCAGGCCCCTTGCTCCTTTGCCATGGTCTTCATGCCCCCCCCCCCACTGTCCTGGTGG